AAAACTTGAATAACTCTAGAAGGAAGCAAATTGCGCCGATATCCTTTGAGGCTTTTTCATATCTCTATGTGACCTATCGATTGGCATATGAATGAAAAAAATCCGAGATAGACACCTCGGGAGGTTCCCTCGTTAGTTCGTTGTGTTTCGATATCAGACTTATAATACTCATTTCAAGAAAATTGTTATCTCTATGCTTTTCTAGGTGTTTTAGAACAAAAATATTTAAGTTCATCTCTCTTTCAAAGCTCTCCTTGAAACTGATTTTAGGGCAGTGGTCTGAATGAATTTTTTAGAAAGTATTGATAATGGAACAGTGGTTTCTGTCAGACCTAGTCTTTTCCTTATCCGGCTTACACGTGATTAAAGTGACTCACAAGTTTTCATGATAAAATTCACTTTATATCCTAACGACACATTTTTTAACTTAAATAGCTTCTTTACAATCGACTTTTTACTGATAACATCGAGTTACATCTGTGGTAATAATTTGATTAAAAATAACAGATAGTTACTGAGAAAAGCGAATGACACAATACCTCAATTTGATTAGTTCAGTTTTTTCTAAAATTCTCCCTTTTATCATATCGTATATCTCTCTATATAATATTCAGGCAGTTAGCTGTATTGTACAGCAGTGTGTCATGATGACATTCGCACATTTTCTCCTCTATCCAACAAACACTTTTGTTTTTTCATACAAGTTTATAACAACAGTCATATTTTCTTCTTTTCTTTAAGCACTACAAGGTGTGTTCTTCTTCCTACTATCTGTTTTATAGCTGACAGGATGAGAGCCACTTTATCGTTAAGGTTCAGACGATTCGTTTATGATGCCACTAATCTACAGAATATGAGCGATAACACACATTCTATGGTATTACTGAACATTCGTAGTATTGTTAGCTCTCCGATTAAGACTGTAAAAGTTGCCGTTACGTTGATTTAACGCTAACTGTCTTTTCAGTTACCGTTGAAATAACGGTAACCATCAGTTAGTTAACTTTCTGGTAACTACTTCTTAATTATGGCAGAAATATCCAGGCAGCGGCTTAAAATGGCTTCCAAAATCGTTAGTTTTCCACTAAAACTGTTGAAATTTTCATAAATAACATGATTTTGATTGGCACATACGTGCCAGACGACCAAACTAATCGAAATTATATAACTTCAATGTTGTGTAACTGCGGTTTTTAAGGTCTGCAGAGACCTTCGCATCTACGGCCAGCTTAAATCTTTTTGTTTTCATCAACGAAATTAGACTACAAAACCATGCCATTTATGAAAGCTTCAACAGTTTTAGTGGAAACTAACGATTTTCGAAGTAGTGGCGTAACCAGTAATCCGTGGGTGATAGGGCAGTGCCCCATAACGTTTAAAAAAATCCATCCACGATAGTTTTAATTTTTTCCACAACTGAAATACAGGTGCTCAATTCTAACTTTCTTAAGCGAAAGACAATGCACTGTATCTCCACTTTTATTAAGTGAAATTATGTGAACAAAAGAGAAAAAGAAAATGAAATAAATAAACAAATAATAGTTATTTCAACATTATTCGACAAAAATCTTAGTGGAAATAATTATTTTTTGTTTCTCCCGGTGCCTGGGCAAAGACTGTAGGTGGCCGGGCGGCGCCCCGCCCAACTCACCCCTGGTTAAGCCACTATTTGGAAGCCATTTTAGGCCGCTGCCTGGATATTGCTGCCATACTTAAAAAACACTTACCACAAAGTTAACTAACTGGTAGTTACCGTTATTTCAACGGTAACTGGAAACGCACTTACCGTTAAAACATAAAACAACGGTCACTAGAAAGGCAGTTACCGTTGTCGATAACGGCCGAAGAAGTAACGGTAACTTTTACAGTCCCATCTCCGATGCTGAAACGACTTGTAATCACGAGAAACGAGTTCACTCCCACGCCCCAAAAAGGCTCAGTTTATAACTATTTTATGTTTCTCGTAATTTTGGCAACGGATGCCGTTTACGTAATTTAGAGTACCTTATTCCAAATACAAAGTAAATTAATATTCCCAGTCCTGTCCATATCGCCATATGAATAAGCGTGGGCTTTGAACTGGTTATTATCAGAAGGAAAGACACAAGTATTCCTATGGGTGGGATAACCCACTCACCACCCCATATCTTAAATGTACGTCGAAACTGAGGAGGAAGATCATCATTAGTTGGAAATAGTCTTCGCATAATAATTACAGCTAAATGAACGAAAATAATAGTAATTATCGTTCCAACAGCTGAAATTTCACTTAATACATTAACTGGAAGAATACTCGCAAGTAAACAAGCCAATACACCTTAAACGAAAAAAACAGTACTAAAAGCTTATTAGTACCTGTTTAAAATCGATAATAAACTACCTGTCATACATGTTGCTAGTTTTTCATTCTTAAAAAATTGTGGTAAGAATCCATCAGTAGCCATCACGACAAAGATCCTTGGTTGAGCTATCAACTGGGTAAGCAAAGCTGATGCTGTCGAACATAATGCTCCAACTGTAATAGCTATCGCTAACCATTTCATTCCAATATAATTAGCTGCAAATGCTAACGAATAAGGAACGGATAATTGTTGATATGGTACGATGCCCACAAGGATCACAATAACTGGAATATATATTAATACTGATATTGCTAGCGAACCCAGGATACCAGTTTTAGTTGTAGTTTTAGGATCTTCGCTATCTTTGGCTGCTGTACTTACTGCATCAAACCCCATATAGGCAAAAAAAACAACCGTTGCTCCATGAAGCATGCCGGTGACACCAAAACTAGCAAATGCTCCTTGATTTTTTGGGAAAAGTGGATAATAATTGTCTCTACTAACATGTTTGGCTGAAACAACAACAAATAATACTAATATACTAATTTTAATAACGACAAACACAGTCATTAAGTGAACAGAGTATTCTAAATTGTATATCAACAGTAAGCTGATAATGATAATCACAATCACAGCCGGTAAATTTATTATACATCCAGTTGAATGGAATTGTTGAGTTGTTTCATTAAACAGAATGGGAGCCTGAACAATTCTAGATGGTAAAGAAACATTCCATGTTATTTTTAAGAAATGTACTAAATAGCCAGACCATCCAACTGAAACAGCAGATGCAGAAACTAAATATTCTAACATCAACTCCCATCCTTGAATAAAGAAACACGAACACAAATGTGAACGGCTGGGACAAAGGCAATAACAAAGGATATAATTACAGCTGGTCCTGCGAATTTAGCTGATACTTCAACTCCAAGCACATATATACAGTTTATTCATTTGGGATGTCGAGTAATAAAGCGACTTTTCTGATGAGCTTGTGTTCATTGGTCAAGTTCTTTTTCAACACATGTTCTTGTTCAACAGCATTTCTATGTACAGACCAACTAACAGATACGTAGGTGCTCCGAGATACGTTTTTGGACTACAAAGAACACTTTTAAAAGTGTTCTGTTCATGGCCCAAAAACGTATTTCGGGATACTTGTTTTTTTACAGTGTCTTTCATTGGCGTAAGCCGACATCTCTTCTCGTTTATCTCTGCCTTTTTCTATAACTAACAACACAATATTTTGATACCCCAAATCTTCTCAGCGTACGTTTATTTCTTAACAGAAGCATTAATACTGGGAGTGAGCTAAAAACTGATTTTTTTCAACGGAAATTTACAAAAGTTTGAATTACTCTTCCACGTTTGCTTCACTTTGATCCATATCTCCTCCTAAAACAGATGTTCTAAATGGGTGATCCCATACCTAGACAATGTAACAATATTAATCAGTATAAATGAACGTTTAGAAGCAAACGATAAAACCAGTCTGGAACATACCTGAGCCTATAATACCTCCCAAACCAATGATAATCAATTGGAAACTATTTAATTTGCGTTGTGTGCGGTTGTTCTGCACTATTACTGATTCGTTAGACGATGTTAAATTGTCCAATTTCTGTCGCATACATAAGTAATAAAGTAGGAGAGAAACAACACGTTGTATTCCTCTCAAAAACGAAAATGTTTCTTTATTCTCGTCATTATAATGGAAGTCTAGAGTTATACGTTTTACGTCACGTTGTTGGTCCATTGTTAATCTGACAAGAAAAACAAACTATTCATGTATATAATGTGTCTGGTATCTCTATATTGATATAGTGTTAAACCGAAGAGCATAAACCAAATCATTGCTCACAACATTTACCAGTAACTGTACTTAGAATAGTTTTCACAACATTTCATAGTACACTTACGTTCAATCCACTATTTTATTTCTGTTCTTTTCGTTACAATAAGCCGATCTGCTGTTGAATCACGCTGTGATTTTTAAATCAGAGATGACAGAGGCGCTTTAAATAAACACTACTACCTCTCCATAAAAAGAGTTCATCTACAGGTCAAATTTATCGAAACTATAGCTGTTTAGTTAATCCGAACAAAAAGTTGTCTATTAACGAGTGACAAATGGGGAGTTTCTTAGCACTTTCCACGTTTTTATACGTGGCTAAGCTAGTCCATGGTTCAAGTAAAACGACTGTAAATGTTTTCTTAAAAGGTTCTATCAAGTACCTCCACTAAAGTTTAGAGACTTGTCGATGTCATATTAAAAAACCACCGACGTTAAAACTTTTAGTTACATTTTCAGATAGGCCTAGCTAAGGATTGTTTATGAAAAAGCTTCTCAGGTTCAACGTAATTTCGAGCTCCAAGATTGTATCTCAATTAATAAGTTTTTCGAACAATACATCAAAAGTATATCAGAGCTACTTTCTACACTTAGTTTAACCACCTGCAGCCTTAAAAGGTTTCTGATAAATAATGCTTAGCTAGATCTAGCAGAAAATGTAATTAAAATTTTGTATTCTTTACGTATATTCCGTTCTGATTTATACCCTTTAAGTGATATAAGTAATTATTATACAAAATTGCTGTTTCACCTCTTTAAGAACTCCTGATTAAATTGTGCAACGGCTAATCATGCTATTAAACATTCTTTTGCGAGAAGTAATCATTAGGATATGTTTTACTGATTTTTAATCAAAACTAATCATTTTGTTCTGGGAGCTGCTTCTTATTCTGACGTTCGTATATAGTCATCAATTCTTCTTATATATGTTTCTACTTCTATTTTTTATAAAATCGAGTAATTTATATATCGATATTTTTAATTACGATTGTTGATTACTCACTAATTAAAAAGTGGCTGTAATTTGGAAACGCAGAACCACACAAATTTACTCGGTCCAAATTGTGTCCGCTTTTATACTAAATGACTTAAGTGTCGGCCACATTTCGGAAGTTACGCTCTGCAACAATCTACACATTTCTAGAAATTTAGAAGAATAATTTTGTATAATTACTTATATCACTTAAAACGTATAAATCAGGACGGTTCGTCACTATACGTCTGTACTTTCAAATCGTGTTATTGTACTATTACTTTGAAAAGTGATGCAATTATAAAATCCATTGCCACAAATCATAATCATGATCGAAAATTACCTGATAATGTTCAAATTGTATTAAGAAGACTTTGATAGGTGTCAAAAAGTTTTAAGAGCTCTTTCTCATCGGTATATTTACAATACACAAAAGAATAAGAAAAATGAACAGGCACCACCAGATTATCTTTCACCCAACTTACAATAGAAAAAAACACCTAATCTACAACTGTCCGTAAGGGGACACCTCCAATTTATATCCCGATCGGAGAATAGGCGGTTAACCTTTTATTGCTTATAGTGAGATATATTCTTGATCTAGTCGCTTTCCACACCTACCATCTTTTTTTATTTCTTCCTTTTCGATACGCACATATATTGAAACACGCATTAGTTTTCTGATGCGTAGAGAATATATAAGCACAGGTGCTTTGTGTTTAACGGGGAATTTTCCAACTATTCATTCATGCAGATAAACTGCCTTATGTTGTTTGTAAGTGAGTCACAACCTGCTCTATCTTTTAAAACGTATAACGGGCGTTGAACAAGACTAAATCTAAAGAGAACTTGTTGTTTTTTACAGTTCTGGTATCCAAAAGGCAGAATTGAGTCTCTGGACACGCAAGTTGTGCATAGCACAATTGCAATTAGAAACGTTCGATTGAACTTAAGAAACTTGAACTGAAGAAACTTTCACGCCATTATTTTCTTAGTTACTAAAACGAAAGTTGTCGATCTTTCATCTAGGGTTGAATATACCCCATTCTGAGCAATAAAAGGTTAACCGCCTATTCCCCGATCGGGATATAAATTGGAGGTGTCCCCTTACGGACAGTTGTAGATTAGGTGTTTTTTTTCTATTGTAAGTTGGGTGAACGATAATCTGGCGGTGGCTGTTCATTTTTCTTATTCTTTTGTGTATTGTAAAAAGGGAAAAAAATGTAAATAAAAGCAGGAAGATTGAGATTTGAAGAATAAACAAAACAACTCTTTTCGCATTCAATTTAGTGTATTGGTTAATGATCATCTGAGTGAACTAATCCCATCAAATTATCCAATGAGTCTACAATTAATATTGCTGTGGCGGTTATATTCATATTAAAACAACCGAGGCAAGTGCTGGTAGTTTTATTGACCTGAATCCGTATCACGTAATGATGTCAAGATTAAGACAGTGATCTAAGTGCCTTAAAATTCTGTTGCTCATGAAATGTTTTAAAGAAGGCAACAGAAAATTTTTCTGCTCTTTATTGCAATATTTCATCATTTTAATTCAAATAAAACATTACAATTCCACAAATAACTTTTTTCACACAAAAGAAAAACTTTTCTTACAAGCACACAGCTACTCTTGCACGTTCAAAGTTCTTTAACACGTTGCTTTACCAAAAAAACATTACAGTATCTACAGTAATGATATGCATCCATCGTACGATTCGTAGGAAACGATAGTTATACTGCCAAAAATACTCCTAGCAATGAACATTGTAGCATAACTAACCAGAATGAAAATTCCATTGTCTCCAACTTTACTTTCTTATGGTTCCTTCTTGTCCGTACATACTTATCAATCGTATAGTATATCAAATGGCATTTTTTTTTAAATAAACATATTACATAAAAGCATATAGTTGGTGACTCTTGGTGCACAACTCTTACTGCATACAAGATCCCAAAATAGGATTATATCACCCAATTACCTAAAAAAACCTACGCGAATAATAGATGTAGTGAAAAAGAATTCCATCCTCCCCCTCCGACATGACTAACAGTCCCTGAAATTTTTATCGAGATTCGGCTTATTTTTATCCAGATAGTTTTCTATCAGCTGGTCTTAATAATTTAATTACGTTTTAGAATATTAAAAAGGATCTCAACAATGAGTCAGTGCTTCAATTGAATCATATCACCGAGAGAAAAATAAAATTCATTTAGAATCGTGAGAAAGTGCTTCTTCGTATTCAGCGTACACTCGATAATCCCGTAGATTTTCTATTTTTGACGAAGGGTACCGTCAAAAGTTTACGAAAAATTTTCAAGCTAATATTATTTTCCCATGGAAATCTTTTTGCGGCATTTTGTTCCAAAAATTTTTCTTAATCTTCGACAGTACCCGTCGCCAAAAAATAGAGAATCTACTGCGTTATCGAATATGCTGAATACAAAAAGGCACTTTTCGCCAACTCTAAATGAACTTTATTTTTTTTCTTTAATTTATTAACCCTGACAAAGTCTCCAGAATCAATGTTTTTCGTTGTGCAATTTCAATTTTGAACTGTGTGGAAAAATAATTAAGAATTCGTCGACGAAGGGTCGTGGAAAGAGTCTGAAAAAAGATTTGAAAAACTTACAATATGTTGATTTTACACTTTACAGCAAAAGCGGATTATCATTTTGTATCAAGAGTTTTCACGCCATAGGGTACGCGGAAAACCTCTTTCTTTTGAAAATTTGTTCTCATACATGATGAGAATAAGCGGTTTAATGACTTGATTCTGAATAATTGTATGCTTGTATCTGTTAGAGATATTTTGATCTGTTCTCTGAAGAAAAATAGTTTTCATGTCAAATTAACCACGTTAAAAAAAGACTTTGATGTTAAACTACGATGTTCATTAAGAAGTCATGATCTTTGATCCATCACATCCTGTCTGCTTTCGTGCAATAAGCGAATGTTTTCCACCCCATTTTATCGTTCATAAGTCAAAATAGCTCAAATCTTTCATGATTTCACAATGGATTTTCTGTTTTTTCATATCAGAACTATTTTTCTTCAGAGAACAGATAGAAATGTTTTTAATAAACACAAGGATACCATTATTCAGAATCAAAACGTTAAACAGTATATTCTCATCATGTATGAGATTAAATCTAGCATTTAGGGAAGGTTTGGCCAAAATCGGATGTACAGTGTCGAAGATAACTTCTGAGGGAGCCTCTTAGTGCTAGTACTTATAAATGTAATTAAATTAACATACAAAAAATAATCAGAACATATGAGACTCCTGAATGGTTGAAATAATGAATAATATGTTACGAAGACCAACAGACGTATATGATACGAACATTATCATCGTTATCATTTTGTTTTGATGACATCTTTTATTAGGAAATGATTTTGTTAATTGTCGTATGAATCAAAACTTTACTGTATCCAACATCAAAACAATTGTTTTATTTGTTGATAAATTTACATTAGAATTTTTAATTTAATCAAAACTATATTTGTAAATGTTCGACAATTGAAAATTACTTATAATTCATCTTTTTCCGATAATTTTCTAAATGATAATATATTAATATTGGATACGATACCATCATTACTATTCGAAGATGCTAATAATTTAAACTATCGAGACTTTAAACGTTTCCTATTAGTTGCGCCAAATATTAGACAATTAAAGTTACGTTCACCCTTTGTGGTAAGAATTATTGATGGTTTATGCATAGCCGCTAATGATATAAAAAAACAAACGAATGTAATAACTGATTTAGTTGTCAGATATTCTGAAGATTGGCTGTCTCCAAAGCTGAAAGAAATATTTACGAGACAGTGAATAACGACAAGAATAACAGTGTTATGACAAATTTATACTGTACTGTGGTCGAACTTAAGGTACCGCTAATTCGAAATTTCAGCACTATTTTA